CCTGCCGCGTTGCTCTCGCCAGCCCGCGATCTCTGCTGCTTCCGCGTTTGTCACCCCTCCTCGGTCATCGATCGTCCTTGATTTCCTTCGCCAAGTACTCCCTCGAAGGTTTGTCGTAGTGTGGGTGAGGTGCCGCGCATATTACATTGCAAAAAAAAACAAAAGAAAGTAATCAGAATGCGGAAACGCGATTAATTACGACCCCTGGAGATCTCGTCGTTGCCCCCCTGGTCTGTCCCTGGGCGCGAAATTCCGCGCCTTGTGACGGTGGCGGGGCGCCGCGACGGTGCGGCGAGCCGCAACGTCACAATATATATATACATATATGACACTAGGATGTCATTTTGGAGCAACTTTTTTTTTCATTTCACGAATAGCATATATACTTGCAGGAAGGTAAAATAAGATACCTGTTAAAATTTTAGCCCTTAATATTAATATTAACAGGTCGCTCATCGCAATTTTTTATTTTTTATTTAGTAAGATAGAAAATAGTATATTGTGCACCAAGGGGCGAAAGTAAAAAATTTAACGATCTACAAAAAAGGTCTCTTATGTTTTTTTCATAAATATAACCATTTAGACGATATTAAGGTTTAAAGTTCAAAGTATAAACCTTAATATCGTCTAAATGGTTATATTTATGAAAAAAACATAAGAGACCTTTTTTGTAGATCGTTAAATTTTCTACAAAAATATGTATTAATTATTTCATAATTTTTAATAGTCGATATGATATAACATTCATAAGAAGCAAAAACAAGTTTTATAAAATTTATCAAACTTTAACTTTGAATATCTTTTGAACGGTTGAATTTATGAAAAAATGATAAGAGCTCTTTTTTGTAGAGCGGTAAATTTACTACAGAAAATTTATGTGGCGCAATGCTGTATTACTGTTTGTTAGATAGTTATAAAATTTTTTCTATCTTACTAAATGAAAAATGAAAAATCGCAATGAGCGACCTGTTAATATTAATATTAAGGACTAAAATTTTAACAGGTATCTTATTTTACCTTCCTGCAAGTATATATGCTATTCGTGAAATAAAAAAAAAAAAGTTGCTCCAAAATGACACACCCTAATATACACATACAATACACATACACACATACACACACACACACATATACACATACAATATGATTTTTTAACTTCTGCTGTTGAGAGTGGGGATCCCAGGTTGACTCAGTTTATATCGATTTTAGAAAAGCCTTTGACTCAGTTAATCATACTATATTAATGTGTAAACTTTGATCTCTAGGGTTCGGAGGTTCTCTTTTGCGTTGGATATCTTGCTTCCTATCAAACAGGTATCAAGTCATAAAATTTAATAATAGCTTCTCCAGAAGTATAAATGTTTTGTCTGGAGTGCCACAGGGCTCACATCTTGGCCCTCTTTTATTTGTTTTATTTATTAATGACATAGCTGCTTTTATTAAATTCTGCTTTTTCTTATTGTATGCTGATGACCTTAAATTATACCGTCGGATTAACGGACCCTGCTGATGCGCTTTTATTACAACATGACTTATTTGAACTTGAGGCCTAGTGTAGGAGGAACTGTCTTCGGCTTAACGTCTCTAAATGTTTTGTCATTCATTTTACTCATAGACGTAACTCATATTTATATTACTATATACTCTTGATGGTTTACCTCTCTCAGCAGTGCGCGAAGCTAGAGATTTCGGGGTTCTATTCAGTGCGGACTTATCATTTAATACACATATACAATTAATAGTTTCATCTGCTTATAGAACGCTTGGATTCATCCTCCGATGGGGTAGATTTTTTAAGAATATAATCACTTTAAAATTATTATACTGTACGTTAGTTCGCCCCAAGTTGGAGTACTGTTCCATAGTTTGGTCTCCGTATTTTAAATGCCATCAGTTATTGATTGAACGTGTGCAGCACAAATTCCTGCGTATGGCTGCTTATCGGCTGGATAATCCCATGTCAATTACTTGCCATGCCTACTGCACTATATTAGATAGATTAAATCTGCTATCGTTAGAAAGTAGGAGACTAACCTTTGACCTTACATTTATTTTTACGCTTTTTAATCACTCTACTGATTGTCCGGATTTGTTATGGAACGTATCGATTTTAACATCCCGACTAGAGAATTAAGACAGTACTCCATCTTCCACCTCGGGTATCACCGTACTTTGTATAGCGCAAATTTTTGTGTAAATAGGCTAATAATATCTGCAAGTAATTTCTCCAATAGGGTTGACTTTTTTGGTGGCTCTGTATCAACTTTTAAACAAAAACTTTCTCGTCTACTCTTGTAACCTAAATGTTCTCCATATTATGTTGTAAAATTTTAATTTTATTTTATTGTTCTTGTTTTTCTTTTCTCTTTGTACGCTTTATTAAGGGTTTATTACCCGTTAATAAAGTTTATTATTATTATTATTATTAATACATAATATATATACTCGCAGAAACAAAGAAATATGTTTTTGACAAAACATTTAGTACAGTCAGAAGATCGGAAATATTTTTAGACACGTCATTAGCAATTCCAGCAATTTCGTTTTCTGATTCATTATTCCGTCACCATCGCTTGCGTTTAGTCACCGTAGCATGAGAAACGGTGTCCAGGACCTACGACGGGGACGTTGCAGGATGGATTTTTAGGCCCCATATATGAGTCTGGCTAAGGCGAGATCGTGGTGGTTCAGCCGGCTAAGGCAAGACCAGGAACGATCCGGCAAGCCGGCTGAACCACCACGATCTCGCCTTAGCCGGCCGGATCGTTCCTGGTCTTGCCTTAGCCGGATAACTACCACGATCTCGCCCTAGCCTGCTGAACCACCACGATCTCGCCTTAGCCGGACTCATATGGGGCCTAAAAATCCATCCTGCAACGTCCCCGTCGCGGCGTCGTAGGTCCTGGACACCGTATCTCATGCTACGGTGACTAAACGCAGGCGATGGTGACGGAATAATGAATCAGAAAACGAAATTGCTGGAATTGCTAATGACGTGTCTAAAAATATTTCTGCTCTGCTAACACTGTACTAAAGGCTGATCTACAATGTGCTCTTTGCTTTCTGTTTTTTGCTCTTAACCTCTTTGCGACTATCTCGTATTTCGCAATTCCGTCGCGTAACGTGATGTTTCTTGTCTCTTCTAAAGTTCGTCAATTTTTATCTTAAGCGACAGAGAACAAAAAACATCGCGTTACGCGACGCAATTGCGAAATACGGGATAGTCGCAAACAAGTTAAGAGCAAAAAACAGGAAGCAAAGAGCACATTGTAGATCAGGCTTAAATGTTTTGTCAAAAACATATTTTTTTGTTTCTGCGAGTATATATATGTATGTATTGTATGTGTATATATAATATATACATACCCATATATAATATGTAAAACCCAAATAACCCACCCTCCAAACCCATTTTTCCCCCAGGGAAGTTTAAGAATGGCAGTATCTTGACTCACAATGAGACCACGCAACAATATGGCCAATACGAGACTTCCGAGGTTTATAACTCAAAAACTATTGATTTTCAGACCTAGGTCCCATTGAGACTTTTGATCAGGAGGTCAAACAGTACAACATACTAAAATTTTAGACAATTTAGCCGGGAACCAAAATCCATATGGTTGGTGGGGAGATCCTTTATATACTTGTAAAGAAAGGAATAATATTAAATATTTAATTGATCTATTTTTCTACATTTTTTTTAAATATTCTTAAAAATTTTTCTATATCTTTTAAAAAATAATCTTGCACTTTTATTTAAATAAAATATAATAAAATATGATAAAATATTTTTTGTTAACTTGGTCAGCGACCTTTACATTCGGGACTAGATAGATAGATATTATAGATTTATTGTGTATCCCCGTAGGGTTTACAAGGCGTTTTTTATGAGGAACGTACCCAAACCTCTTACAAATCACTCCCCTACGCGCCCTGGCCATATGCGACCTTACATTTCATTTATTTCCCCTCCCTTCGTCTTTCATTCATCCATCTCCTTCCGCCTTCCTTGCTTCAGCCATTTCTCCGCTTCCCTCCCTTCTGCCACTGCGCGTAGCACGGACACGTACCAAGTGAGGAGACTTCATCGGTAGTGCCAGAAAATGGGTATGCCAAATAGTTCCAACGTTGAAAATAGATGTGAATAGAGTATCAAGCAGTCCAATAAAACAGTATCAAGTAAAAACGCCGGCGTGGCCACTCTCGAGGAAGGTTTCTTAATTAATTTTAAGCAAGACAAAGAAACAGGAGCGTAAGAAAATTATATAGCATAAAAATGTGTATAAAAAATGTGAATTTAACAATGTGTACGAAGCTGTAAAAAGATATAAAAAGATAAATGATATGCTTGAAGGATTTGAAGAATTCTTTCAGGCTTTATAACAATATGGATTATATATTTCTAATATAATCGGGTGTACACATCAGAGGGCACGTTTTTTACAAAGTATAACGTTATCATTCTATGCATATTTCGACTAATGTTTGACATCTCTACTCATGTATTAAATGCCGTACATATAATACATGTAGTATATACGAGTAAAATGACATACTACTAAAGGAAATAATAACTACTCAACGTTCAAATACACATTCACGTTCGTATCGGAATATTCGCGCATTAGGCGTGTATACATACAGGGTGCTTAAATATAACGTATCTCTAATATTTTTCTTAATAAACAGAGAGAGACTTTGGTGATCAGGAAAAACTTACTTAAAAATGATATCAAATAATAAAATTTTAATAGATAATAAGTGTATGACTAATATAAATTAATAAGAAAAATCATAAGACTTAACGTGTTAAAATCGTCTTCTATTAAAAATTTCTCTAGCTATTCATAAATGTGACAGATAAGCTTGACTAAAAATAAAAATTAGATTAAGAAACTTGAAACTTTGAGGTATTAATGAAATTGTTTAAAGAAATGTTTTATAGATCGTCAAACATTAATATTTAATATATAATTGATTTAAAAGTAAAAATAAAACAATATAAAATTACTTAGATAAAAAAATCACAAATGCCAAAAGAATATATACTCTATTCTTCTGTTAATTATTAATTAAATCTTTGCAAAGGCATTTTATCAGAAGCACCCTACATATATATCCGATTGCTCGTAAAATCATGTTATAATGACTAGTATCATCAAAAACGAGCATTCGCCCGCGCGCGTTGCACATTATCCTGAATAAATTGATTTTGTGATTAACAGTACAATATGTAATCACGGAAATCCGGCACGGTTTTTGCAAGCGAAAAATATTTTTTCAACGAGAAATGAAAAGTTTGTACGTTCAAGACGATTAAATGATCTCATAAATTCAGCAACGATCGACATCCAGCAGTATATTATAACTTATAACTCTTTTCATCGATGTATGTACAAGGTGACTGTCTTTACATTTAGTCCCTACAAGCTTGATAAAAATAGTGCACAAAATACACATTATATGCAAAACGATCGAACGGTCTCACGCGATTGTTTGGAAATTCGATTGGAACACACGTATATCAAAGATCTGATGAACGGAATCCAACGATCATTGTGTCGTACGATTTTAACGATGAGGATCAGAAGAAAATTTTTCGGTATCGCGAGTCTCTTCGATCGCCCTATATTATCCTTTCTGGTTTCCCTCTTGGTTATTCGAGATATATACAAAGCAGAAATCATTTCGGAATCGAGAAGGTTAGTGAAGCACAGATCTGAGTATCATTTAGGCTGAATGCATGCGAAGTATCGCGCGTATCGTGGTCCTCTCTGTTTGTGCAAAAATAGGTATCCGCAATCGGTTTTCACTTCCGATTTATCCCGCTGAGATGTCGAGCGCAGCGTATTAAGTACAAAATATCGGAGACTTCTATTCGAGATCATTTCTTTTTCCTTGCGTATATAGGTCTTCCTCGTGTCTGCCTTGATCGCGGTCTGACTTGTGCTATTCTCGTTTCACTGATTTGAGGTACACGCAGTGTACATTCTCTTTTCAGTCCCTTACGTAACACAGCTGTGTAAATTGTAACTGAAAGATTCTTGTTGAATATATTACACAACGATGATATTCCGATTCAAGATTTCTTATTTAAATTTCGCATCCTCATTTGTAGACGGAAATTCTCAAACCGAAAATTCAAGAGACCGTATCGATGTAATACTAATAAAACATTTTTCTTCTAACATTTTTTACTGAACTTTTGTTGAATAATTAATAAGTCAAATAAATTGATATCAAATGCATTATTTGATTAATTATTCCAATTGATATACTTGTGAAAATAACAATAGCCAGTGTTAATGGCATGTGTATTAATAATTCAATGATGATCGAAACGAATCCGTTCAAAATTTTAAAGAATCATGGTTTGATCACTCCAATCATTTTCATTATTAATATAAATTTTTACAATGACGTAAACTATGATTGAAATTTTTTTAAGTAGTTTTTTAAAAAATCTGCAAGATGACTGTAACATATTTTCCATTACGCTTTTTCCGAGATGCATTTGTCAAAATAATTGGATTCTCTTCGTTTCTTCAAGATCGATCGTACCCGATCAACAGTTTAGCGATGGCGGCAATCAGAGTGATCGAGACCGAGGATTCCTCTCATGGCGGTGACATGCGAAACCTCCTGCCTTTGTTTAAATCGACGTGGAATCGTCTGTGTCGGTGTCGTCGCCGTAGAGACCCCGACCGTCGGTCTTCGTCCACGAGGTCGCGGTGGTTTCCACGCCGACCTCGTATCTATTCTCCTGCTGGGCGTTACTGGACGGCACGATCCTCACGTAGGTCTCTCTCACGCCCTTTTGCTCCGCGATGTCCTTGATAATTCTCTCTTCGCAGCTGGCGGACTTAGAGCGTGCCTTCTTCTCTTCGGGCTTCTTCGTCATTGCCTCGATCGACTCCAGCGAACTCTTTCTGCGGCTGCTTCTACGGCTATTCGATCTAACGATCTGGTCCTTGTCGGTGGAGGTCTTTCTGCCTACTACCTTTGAACTCTCGTTCTCCAGGTACTTCCGGATCCACTTGGGCGTATCGCTCGAGTACGCCTGCGCTTTCTTCGCGTACTTGCCGGGCGTGCTCGGCAAGATCATCGGTATCTCCGTCTCGATCACCGTCGTGATCACCTGTTCGTTCTCGTCAAAATTACTCTCGAGAAACTTGCGCTTCGGCGTTCCGCCAACGCTCAGCTTGCCGAGCGTCGAGGCGCTGCCGCTCTCGTCGCTGCCGGGCGTCTCATACGTGTACGAATAGTGCCGCTGAATGTGCTTCGGTTCCTTTTCCTGTTGCTGATCCTGTTCCTTGATTCCTTGCCTCTCGCTCGCCTCCTGGTTCCGTCGATTCTCCTCCTTTTCGATCCTCTTCAGCTTCTCGAGCGCGTCGTCGATCGAGTATCGCGGCGATTTCCTGCCACCGGTGCCGAACTCTGGCAGCTTCACCGGCGACAGCAGCGATTGCCTCAGACCACCGGCGATGCTATGTCGCTGCCGGGCAGGCGGGTCCAGCAGTCGGCGCAAGCTCGAGTTTCTGATCTCCGGCACTGACATTCTCTCCCGGACTGGAATCGGTGGTGGTTTACCGGAACGCGCCGACTTTGCGAACGAGAAGACCTCTGACTTGGGTGGCGATGGTGACTTGGACGGTTTCCTGCCCGTGAATGGGAAGTCAGGCGCAAGAAATCGCCTCTCGCCGGGTGGGAAGATCGGTGACGTGCTCGCGACGATCACGCTCTGCAGACCCTCGCAGGTGGGACTCTTTAATCTGTCAGACGTCAGCCCCATGAGCTCCTCGGTTTTCATCTGTTGATGCTCAAAGATCGGCGAGCTGGCGATTGGTAGCAGCCGTGACTTGCAGCTGTCCTGACTGTCTAAGCTGAAGCGCTGCTTCGCCAGTTGGCTGTCCAAACTGAAGCGCTGTTTGGGCGTGCCGGCGATCAACCGCAGGTCGTTCTGCGTCTCCAGCTCCGGTATCGAGAACCGATCGCGATTGAATTTGACCTGCGCGGCACTGAGATTGCCACCACCGCCGCCGCCGCCGCCGCCGCCTCCCAGGTCCTTGATATTTCGATACTTGGCGCCGATGTCCAGCTGCGACAGACGGTCGCGCTGACTTGCCTGCAGGACGGCGGGTCCGAATCTCTTATGCTTGAGAGGGTAGGGTGGCGGCGAGGGTGAATGCATGCTGATTCCGCCGCTGCTGAGGCAAGGTTGGGATAGTCGCTGCTGCGTTCGACCGGGATAGTAATCGCCGGTGACGAGAGTGGGCTGCGACAGTCGCTCGCGTTTATCTTGCCGTAGAATGAATCGGCGTACGTCCGGCTGCGACAGCCGCGACGAACTCCGCTCCATCGTCAGGCTGCCACGGGGGCTTCCGCTGCCACCCAGGGCGTGCACGTTTGGTGTCGACAGTCTCTCCTCCTCGTTGATGCTGTTGTCGCCCGAGGCGGCACGCAGACTGGTGTAAGACAAACGACCGCCAGCGCTGCCGCGGTGCATGCCGACGAAGTTAAACGAATTGATGCCGCTCAGGCTGGAGTTGAGGGTCGGCTGTGACATGCGGATGCGACGGTCTGGCGAGCCGCCCGATCGCCGATCGTACGAGATCAGCAGGGTCGGCAGGTTTGGCTGCGAGTAACGGCTGCGTTGACTCGCGGGCGAGTAACTCGGTGGACAAGGGGTGGTCGAGCGGGTACACTCGTAGGTGCCCGAATCCTGGGATTCGATGCTCGATTGCGATTGCGGCGGTGCCTTGACGGGGGTGATGTGTAGATTCGGAGTGGACAACCGGTTCTTGCGGCCCTGGCCCGGTCGCTTCAGGTGGTCGATCAGATTTGGCTGGGACAGCCGGACGATACACGGGTTCGGGCGTCGGTTCAGGTACCAGAGGTCCCGGCGAGAATACGGCTCGCATCAGAGGGTGCCTTCCTCACGTAGGCGTCGCATGAAGACCGGTCGCACGTCCTCGAAGAACGATGGCAGATCAAGCTCGGCAGCGCGCGCGATACCGCCGTCTTTGCATTCTAACCAGTACGTGTCCATGAGGCCCTTGCCCTGGAGAAAGCGCAGCCAGAAATGAAACTCGCGCCGGAAGAACAAGACCCAAAATTTATAGATAAAAAAATTAATTATCCATTAATTTAAAATTTATCTCAACGTTCTTAGGACGATGTATATATGTGTATAATAAAATCGGAAAAGAGTCATGTCGGTGGGAATTGAAGAAAAATCAATATTGTAATAATTGATTTATATGAACAATTAAAATACCTTCACGTCGACAAGGCCACGGTGTTCAATTTTAAAACCGCCCACCGCGTCGAGTGCTTTCTTCATCTCTAAGCTGATGTGAATTCGCAAAGCTTGGGTAAAATAGCATAGAGAATTAATCAGTATATTGAAACATAATGGTATATAGTATAGATATATAAGTAGAATACATGGAATACACCGAGATCGATTTGAAGAAAATAAAAGATGTGAAAAATATTTTCATTAACAGCTTAATCTTAAAATCTTGGCTATTTATACCTTCGCCGGTCGATTCCATGCGACTCGCGGTGTTCACTGTATCGCCGAAGAGACAGTAACGAGGCATCTTGCTGCCGACGATACCGGCCACGACGGGCCCGGTGTGAGCCCCGCTTCGTATTTGCAGTCGTTCACCTGGACGTTTGGGCACCTGAAACACGGACGAAGCCGCCAGCAGATCCAACGCCATCGTGGCGATCTCGGACACGTGCTTGTCACCTGAGAGGAACGCGAAATCGCGAAGAGATGTATTAAACGAAGAAAGAAATCTCCAAAAGAACAGCAAACACTGAAGTGTAAGAATGCAAGAGGAAAACGTTTATGTGTTTATTCGTTTAGGAACTAAGGAATTTATGTGCACGAAGAAAAAGGGAAGTGCCGCACTATTACGACATCGAGCATGCTTCAAGACAACATGTGGAGCTGGGGGAGAATTTCGTACTTTTACCATTTCTCACGGGCAGACCAGAAGCGACCATGTAGGAGTCCCCGATAGTCTCTACCTTGTAGACATCATAGCACTCGATACGCGCATCGAATAGCTTGTAGATCGAGTTAAGGAATGTCACCACCTGGAAAAAACGCCGGATGACTTTTGTCACTGTGTTGCGCCAATATCCTGAACGTGAATCATTCATTACGTTCCATCGTATTCCGCGCGTAAAATGGGAAATTAAATCTGGCTGGGTACAATCGCAGATAGAATTAAATAAATAATACGAGCAATCGGATAAACGATGAAAGTATAACGATAAATAATGAAAACGACAAAATGGGAATGATACGTAGGAAGATGCATGATCAATTGCTACGCATCCGATTCGAATGGTCCTTGCGTATGTCCTACGAGAATTCGCATGGTATGTGCGCAATTTCATCACCGCGGCAACAACCAAGAGCATCGCTCGATGGAACTTTCCCGTAATTTGGAAACTCGAATCGATCGATCATTTTCCATCAGAACAGAACGGGCAAGGACGCACCTCGAGGGGCGTGTTCTCCGCGGCAATCTCCGTGAAGCCGACTATGTCGCTGAAGTAGACGGTCACCGCCTCGTAATACTCCGCTGGTACCTGATGAACGAAAAAAATTTATGAATCCACCGATCGCAGAAGGTGAATAGGTTGTAGGTAATGAAAAAATTTGTTTTCTCGTTATTCTTCACGATCGATCATTTTATAGAAAGAGCGCGGACCAAGAGAAAAGTTGAAATTGAAAGAGCACTTAATGACACTGCGAAATTTAAGGATCAAAGAATTTCTGATTTAAAAACTCTAGAAAGATAAAGCATTTATGAAAAAAAGTCTAGATCTGCTGTGATTTTAGAAATTACAATTGAGATTTATAAATTAAAATGCAGATTGAAACTTAAGGATGTAAGATTTCTAATAATCGTTCGAACATCGAGTATCGCGCAGTCACATTCGGGTACGGCGGAAAAAAAACACATTTTATAGATTCTTAAATTTTTGTAAATTATTTATTCGAGGTACTTGAAAAATAACTACTCGAGACAACTAAGATTGACCTGTTGAGTCTGCTTGAGTTGTTGGGCAACGCTAGGTGGAAGCATTTGGAAGAGCAGCGTGTCGCTCTTTCTCTTCTCGCGTTTGAGTTCGCGGGCCTTCTGAGCCAAATTCGCGGCATACATCTGTAATTAGCAAGTTGAACGTATTATAAAGACAAAGATTTATAGCAGTTAGATCATATTATTCGATATTAAAAACGAGAATATTCTCTCTTGTGTCTAGGGAAAAAGATTTTTTCAATGTAAAAAATATAAATTATTAAAATATTAAAATTAGAACTTCAAAGGCGAAGCAGCTTATTGCGTATAAATTTAAAATAGAAAGAGTGGATTACTCTAGCATTGCAGAAAGAGATTTAATACTTATAAAAAATGTTTGTTTTTTTTTGCAAATAATTGATAACAAATGGTGACTGACGGATTAATATCGCTTAATAATTTTCTTTGTAAATAGAACGTTTTTATCGCTTTAAGCGATAAGCGATAAAAACGTTTTTGTTTAGACGCTGAAACTTCTCTCATCGCGACCTAGACTTCAACAACCGTTTTTCCATTGAGACGTCAGTCACGCGACGCGACGTTTATTCGTCGACGACCTCGTGGTTTCGAGAACTCGGAATCGAGTTATAGGATTCGATGTGAAGTAATTAACGTACGGTCGGGAAATTTTCCCATGGCCGTTCACATCAATTCTACATCCGATAAAATGTGCAAAGTTAACTTTGATAAATGACGGTAGGAAACAATCGTATTGTCACGAGTTGGACTTAATTTAGGCGAACAATAAAAAGAACCATTGAATTTATCCGTCGAAAATGTTATTTATTTTTCCGTAAATTGAAAAAAATATTCTTGTAGGCAGCTTTATTCGTTCTTCAGCTTCGATTACTTGTAACTCAGAAATTATCGCTCAGATATTTTAGTAAAACATATACTCCTGAGATAGCTATAGTCTAATCAAAGAAAAATCAGGTGCTGAATTTTTGCCAAAAAGTCCGCGATAAAAATTTGAAGTCCGCGATACACACATTCTGTATATAAATTACTGCGAGTGTCACGTATAAAAGAGAGTCGGATGTAACCATGAAAGGAAATCAAATCGACGGTTTTAAATCGCTGAGGGCAAACCTGAATGGTGGCGACGGCGTTGCGCATCAATATGATAATGATGGGGGATACCACCAGGACCAGAACGACGATAGCGATCCCCGCGACTTCCTTGTTGCTCGCGTCTTGTAACGTCGAATTGACGTAATCCCTGGTGAAAGTTGTATCATATGATCAACATACTTTATAGATAATGTAATTTAAAAATCATTATTCAAAATTATGAAACATTATTGACAATAAATACTGTAACTTATTATCGTCTATATAAATTACAAAACGGAGTACAATCTATTCGGCATCAAGAGATTAAGCAAATTTACTAAATTTTATTGAGAGAGAACAAAATGTCGAAAAATTCTGCTTTATTGTTAGAAACGTTGACTGATTTGACTGCAATTTATTAAAATCCAAATTTAGAGATTTAACGAAATTGCAAAATTTTATTGAAGTACGAGATTCATCGGAATTACTAAATTTCAGTGAGACAAAAACATGAAATTGAAAAAAATTTTTGCTTTTGTTGTTAGGAATGTCGATTGCAATATTGCAATTTATTAAGGCCCAATTACATAAATTTGTTTATTCATACATGACTGAGACCGTACATCCTCCGTTTCGAAATAAAGTACATTTAATCGCGCGTTGAATATTTTCTAAAGAGAACTTTCTCTTGCAAATCGTCTCGCCTCGCGGAGCAAGAAATCGATACTTTCCCAATTGTGGTGTCAATTATCGAATATCGTGTTTACTCGTCTCACGTGGATAGATAGGTTTGGATGAGCTTCCCGTCGTTTTATGAGTCTCGCCGAGATAAATTGAAGAAACAATTCCATTATAAAGATTCGTTACCTTATCATGTGACGCAATTCCCGCTGCAGCTTACGCAGCTCGTCGATGTAAGTGGCCATCGAGTCGAAGTAAGCGATTGCGTCTTCCACGCTCGATTCCCTCCTCTGATTCCGCAGGATCTCGTCCCGTCTAAAGAAGGAATGCAAAACGTTTCGTCTTGTCTGCCCGCTATCTTATTGCCGTAATCTATCATCGGCCTGTTACGTTACGCCGTCGACGCTCATAAAGGCGCCTTCACGAAACACTTCGTCTAAATGATCAAATTGTCCGAGAATCTACAGCTTTTCACGAGAATACAAGGGAGATTAATTTATAAGTATCCTCACGTAAAAAGTATGTGTAATTTTTCAAAATTGTAATCAAAGTATAGCTTTTTTTCGATAATTTACCGTTAAATTCGTGTAGCGTCAAATTATACTCAATTTGAGTCAATTTAAATCATTTCTATAAGTCGCTATTGCTCTTACTCAATATGTCGTTAATTTAATTAAAACAATGTCAATTTAACTAATGGAGTTAAACTTATAATACTGTTTTGTGTTTAAATAATAAATTTTGACACACACACATGGTAGTTAAAAATAACAAAATGTTATTTGACTTAAGTTTTAAATTGCATCCAATAATAATAACAGTGTTGTGCATCGAAAAAATATCATTGAGAATAAACCAATTCTATTTTCTCGTTTTATTGAAGAATGTCACATCAGGAAAGAGAATCGGGAAAATTTTTCCCTCCGTCTAAATATGTACATATATTGCAGAAGATTTATACGCAAGACAAGTAACTTCCTTCCAACAAGACTTTGCCGCGCGATCACGAGACGCGAAAGGGGAGCGCGAGAAACGTTTTACCTTGCCTTGATCTTGTCGTACTCGGGCATGGTGCGCGTAAGTTCATCGTAAAACTTCTTCAGGGAAGGCACGTACGTTAGGGCGGCGTTCAGAAGGTCGCGGCCCAACGCCTCGTGGCGAACATAATTGACGTAGTTGTCGCCAAAAAGGAGACCGCGGCCGAAGTAATTAATCCCCTCCACGGAGGCGATACCGAGGCTTTCGATGCTCCGCAGGAGATTCTTGAAGGCTATCAGATACCTGAAACGGAAGAGTCCCGTGTATCTCGGATCGCGCGGATTCTCGCGCCTCTCTTCCCCCGCGCGAGATCCGGCCTCCAGATTATTGTCTCCGCCGTCTCCCTCCGCCCCGATCTTTAAGGGGACGTCGATGTCGATAATGCGCGTTACCTCCACACTCCGCTGTTGTCCGTCTCCTTGATCTGATTAGTCAGGTGGTCCAGCATAGCGGCGTTCACGCTCGTGTACCACGCCATCACCTCGGAAATGCTGCTCTCCTCCGAACTTATTTTCTGCCTGCGGGAAATGAACAAACGAACTTTGCGCTCAACCGCGATGATTGTTGGATGCAGCGATGCAGTCTTAAACGTACATAATACTACATAAAACGCGATCGATATATATGTCGGGAAGGTAATCTCCGAATCACAATCTTGTCGAGACAAGTAAGTAACAGTCGTAATGTGAAATGTTAAATATAATTGCGTCACGCATCGCGCGTGGAATAATCTGATCCAGTGATCTTACGTAGTTCGCACACGCTCGAGATTATTTGTAGGTCGACATTCGTCCTTCCCCCGCGAAATTTCCCTCCTATAGATCCTGGTACACGGAGCCATATGTTTTAACGAACGACGCGGGCAACCTTTACTTATATCTCGACTTCAATATTTATCCCGACGACGCCTCTTCTCCCTCGTTACCTTCGTCTGGAGACGATCTCGCCCCCGTCCGAGAAGCGATGGTCTAAAAAAAGAACACGCGCGATTCTTCGGACAGGTGCGAGCCGCGATTTGCACGTGGCGGAATGTCGGTCGATAATGACATCAGCGACGTAGACCTTCGCATTTGTTACGAGGGGTTTGATCGGCGCGCAACGTCGAACGTCGACGAGATTTTAACCAGACGTGGACAGACGACGAAGGGAAGGAAAAGAGAAAGATAGACAAAGTGTATGCATGAAAAAGAGAGAGAGAGAGAGAGAGAGAGGGGCGGAGAAGAAGATATATATAAAAAGAGAGAAAGTCAGAGCCAGAAGAGGAGAGAGAGAAAGACAAGAGTCTAAAAATACTGTCTATTGCTCCAAATGGGCGCTCGCGCGCTCATGTGTGACAACCTCTTCCATTGCTCATAAAGAGAACGCAAGAGAGAAAGAGCGAAAGAGACAGAGAGACAGAGAGAAAGAGAGGGAGAGAATAAACGTGGAGAACGAAAAAGAAGCAATGATACGAAGAGAAAGGTAGACAACTTTATTGTAAGGACAGATAGACAGCTTTATTGCGTTCTTCTGAGATTGACTACTCTCGTGCGCAAAGAAGGAAGATGCGTAAGAATAATTGCAGCGCGAGCGTATATCGTGACACGGCAGAAGCGAACGCGAGTAATAACGCGGCGAGTAGACGGTAAACAAATTCAATTACCGGTATATTCAATTGTAAACGAACGCGTTGAGAGGGAGGGAACCGGGAAGGAACCGAAGAAGTAAGCGGATATTGGACGAAGGGAGGAAGAAAGATACGGCGGGATAAAAAAACCTTTATTGCGAACTTCGAAATAATATCTCCTAAGAGCCCGAGCAAAGAGATGTAAATCACGAATGACAGTAACAGAAGGAAACGTAGACAACTTTTTGATGTATCGGTGTCATCGGTGATACTGGCCGGACAGCAAATGAGGAGAGAAATATGGAGTATACGAAATACAAGGAAGGAAAAAAGGCTTTATTCTGTAATTAAAAATTTCTTAAGAATAAAGGATTACGTAAAGTAACACACTTTAACTAATAACGACGAAGACGTAAATATATAGAATTATAACGGATAAGGAAATCGATAAATATATGTATCTTTATATCAGAATTAAATATTCAAGAGAAAGTGAAACACAGAATACTCCCGTTATTGAACACAGCGTATCTCGGAATTTCAGACGAAGGTCTCTCTTAATAACTGTCGTCAAATAAAAATTCCATAAGGAGCATGATAAGAAGGAAGTCCGTAGGAATCTGCTACGGCTTTCCGCATCGATCAATTCGCAAGATTCCCGCCCTTTTCCCGCAGGCTCGAGGAAGTCAGAGGATCGTTAGTGTCTTGTTATCTATCGGCTGTATCGAGGGATGACATAGATGCGCCACGTGTCTTCCGCGTGCGTGGTCGTATGATAACCGCCGCGGGTCCTTCCGCCTTATATTTCTGTTTCTGTTCCTCCCCATTCGGTCGGCGGAGATACATCTCTCGATGTCGGCGCGAAAATTTCTCTTACGAAGCAGACGCACCTGACGGACTGTTTCTACTTAAGGACTCAAAGGCCACGAAACTGTTCTTAGCAAGAGAATTTGCCTTTTAATAATGATAGTGTCAACAGTTTTTAAACCAGCCGATCTCTATTTTTTTCACAATTTTTTTGTGCCTTTAGCTGCGAATAGTAGACCAGTCTGTTTTGTAGTTTTACGCCTGCTTTCCCTAGATTATCCTTTTGAAAGGAAATGTAAACGCTAACTCTGGTTATCGAAACCGGCCTCAGAACGCTCTAATTACTTCGAAAAATGTTTTCGTCTCCGCATTGTGACCTTTCGCATTTTCGCTGGTAGTAGCGAATACTCGATAACGGCGTATTCAATATTTTCAATCGACGTAAAAGATATGAAAGTACGGTTGAGGTATTTTGCAAATAAGTACGCCGCGTGGATAAAACCGGGCCGAAATTAAAGTTTCCGCCGCACAATTTCGAGACACAAGTTACAATCAGCTTGCGCATTGTCATATCGATAGAAAAGGGATAGGCAGAGGGACAGAGAGCGCGAGCGGCCTCATACAAAATATTCTGTGTCTTCATGCCCGTCAGCGACCGGATGCGCGCAACCAGCCTTTCCATATCGATACTTTATCGTCCCATCGATTTATCGGACGTACGTGCCTGCCAGGCCGCCCGGCTCGCGCTCGCCGTTTTCGCTCCGCCGGAATGAAAAACGTGCCTTTTATAAATATTGCCACGAGTGCGACACATGGAAATCGGCCCGATTCCAGCGTGCCCGCATATATATGTAAAGTGGAATTCACTCAATGGAGCGAAGTATATAGAGAAACAAACCATCCCACGAAAAGAAAAAGAAAAAAGAACAGAAAGAAACCATTATTTCTTTCGTTTGCGTAATGCGTTTCGTAACTGACCAAGAAAACCTGCAATTATTGCGTAATTAATAAAAGTCAGCGATAGAATCGTGGATTTTTCTTTTCTTGGTCTTGTTTCTTTTTTTTTCTTGTCTGAACGACTAGCGATACCACAAATTGTCATTTCTCACGAAATCCGGCAATATTCCAAGTCCAAGTATTTCGAGAGAGCACCCTCGCTCATGTTATAGCATTGCAAGTTAAAAAGATTGTCGGAGGCATTTGTATTTTTGATCTGCGAGATCCGCTCAGCCGCGGAGGCACGGGGGGATGAGGGTATTGAGGGTTAAATATTTTTATCGTCGATCGATGTGACAAGTCGAATGCGACACGCCGGGTGACTATTATAAAAGCGTGTGCACGCCGCTCGCTCATCTCCGCCACGCCTTTTGACCCTCCGTTACACATATATAATTAGACGACAGGAGAAAAGGATTAATCGAGAGATGTGTACAAGGGCGTTTCCGATTAAATTGCCCTGTCGCTCAATGTCGCCGAAATTACGTTAATTAAATCGCTTTAAACGGGCGCTATCGTCCGTTTAAAGCGATCGTATAAATGCGTCAGCTACGCGCGACGGAACTTTTTAATCCTAAATTGAGAAGTCAACGGACCAAGAAATTATTTAATTGAGAAACTTTCGTTGGTCAATTCCTTTACTTACGCAAAAGGCAGAAGAGCGATAAGACTTTTAAAACGCAAAGTTTTTGTGTTTTTTGTCAGTGGTTTCTGTAACGCCGTTTTGAAATTCGAATGAGGAAGATTACGGATTAAACAATCTTCTATTAAGAAGTTTTTATGTTAAAGTTTTTCTATGTTAATAGCGAGATGTATTTAAATCGCGTTTAATGATTTACTATACTCGAATCGATTTCAGGACACGGCTTCAAAAATCTGCCAGCATTTTATCGTCACATTTATCGTCACTTGCCATCGAAATGCCATCGAAATATTAAACGCAGCCTGAGGAATTTTTCCGAGAATTTTTCATCGTCAAAATACCCCTCTTCAAACGTCAAAGCGAAACCTTTTGCAAAACGCAAACTCCGAAAGCTGCAACATTTCGCTCGTCGATGCAATCGCACAATATTTTCGAGAAGAAATCGCTAGTTGCGCTATCAGGTGAAAATGTGGCGTCGTTTCATTCTAATTAAAGCCCCTAATTAAAAATAATGAAATTTTTTTCTCGCCACAATCTGCCGCTTTGGCAACTTTGCCTTGTTAAAAGCGCGTTTCTTTTCTTTTTTCTGTCAACGCAACTCCCTCCCTCTCCCTCAACAAGAAATAAAGAGAAAAAGAATTGTACGTTTTTGCATAAAATATTGAAGCGATATTATCATTGGCTCTGAAGAACAGTTGGAGCACCCCACGCAGTAAGATAAAAAATTTCGTATATTTTCATACATCGCCGTTTTCTCTTATGGGGTCGATAAGATATATATTATATCTCGCTCGTTTCTCTTTCCCTCTATCGATACATCGAAGAGCAGACGGTCAGTTTTCCTTTTCGCCCCGTCCTATTTCCACCATGAGAAAATACGACCGCAGCGGTCTCGTCGTATCGCGTTATCTTACGTTCGAGATGTACCACTTGATATAGCAACCCCCTTTGCACCACCTCGTCGCTGCGGAGTGGTCTCTCCTTATGCATGCGACGCGCGTTCAGCATTAACGATGAAATATCGCTTGCCGATGCGCCACCTTCCATTATCGAATCGTGTCGCTATCTACGCCCAGAAATTCCAGTACTTTCCTATGTTTATACATTATATATGTAGAAAATAAAGAAAATAAAACAAAAAATTAATGGAGAATTTTTTAGAGCGGCTGCACTCAGAGCATCGTGATGACCTTTCAAACTTACTACTTATTAGTAGCGTCCGCATAAAAGTTTGCATATTTTGATTTTTTATCTCGACATTTTATTAATTCCTAATAATAAAAAATTTCTTGCAAATCAATGTTTTTTTTACATATACTTTGATTTAATCACATTCATTCTAAAGATGTTTTTCAGCGAAATAAGTAGTCTTTTCCCTTAGAACATATATTGCACAACTGATTGAGGTAGTAGATAATTAACCTTTATTGTGCACACCTCTTCGAAATTACGTATTATGCACAGGGGGTATTTCATACCACAGTCACTTTTAAACGTTTATTACAGACGTACAATTTGTTATTTTGACTCAAACAAAATTGCTGGCTATTGTTCAAAGCTTCCAAAATAAGGTCTAATAGGTTTCATTAATATTTTGCAACATAAAAGAATTATAAATGATATGTTAACTAAAGAAACCGAAAAATGGACTTTTCACTTAAAAATGTATAAAAAATTCAATTTTTAATATTTTTTAATAATTTTTGCGGGATTACTTTCTTGAAATACTACACTTTCAAGGAAAAATATTAGTTTATAGCGGAGTTGAAAAAAGTATATTTATATTGCTATAAAATCACGCGTTTTTCAACTTCTCACCACTGACAAGAGCAGACTAAAGCCGGGCGGGCAAAACTATGTATAGGATCTTGAAGTGTTATTCCTAGACTACAGGTAAATGGCAGCACAGGTCCCGATTCGCATTGTATATACGTATTAGAAAAACGCGTTTGAAAATACGCTGGTGTATTTTCTACCCCAGAGTGCACAACAAAGGTTAATATTAAAAGCGAGTGAAACATTAAGAAAATCTGTTTTTCCTGAAACTTTCGCTCTTGCCAACCATATAGCGTTTCTCGAACTTTCGATCAGATATCGAGAGCTCCCGCTCGCGGGAGCTAGACGACTCGATGTCTGGCGCGAGTATTTACAGGGACACGGGCCTGCGGGAGAAAGGGAGAGACAGCGAAAGAGAGGAGAATTCCCCACTCGTACTCTGAATGGAAATTCAACAAGTGTCGGAACGAGAGCTCGAGGGAACGACTCGGGGCTTCCGCCGTAACTTTCCATACCAGCGGATGGCTCATATCCCGCGCGCGGAAAAGGGGTAAAAGCCAACACGAGAATTAACCGTCGGTTACCGACACTCAAAGCGATACCACCCGCTTGCGCCGGAGAGCCGCAATTTGTCCTAATAATTACGTCTGCGAAGAACGTCGCGTCGCCGCCCGTCTCCCACGCCGGGGCGGTATAATTATTGCGGGGTGTATATTCGCGCGCGCGGGGCAGCCTCTTAAGTTAATTAGGTAAAGATTGCCCGCGCATGGATATACGCGACGCGGAATTTTATCCTTGACTTTTTTTGCACTTGCTTCTGTAACGCTGCGACGTCTAGCAAGTTTCTTCGACGCACCGCGCGTTAGATGAATTTTTAGATTTGCAACGTTCAATTAAAAATTAAATCAAGCCCGATGAGAACGCTAGGAGCGCCGATTGTTTGGACGAAGTAAGAATCGCGAACCGAAGTTATCAATTTCAACGTTACAGGCTTCGTCGTTCGTTAAGCTTCTAATTTTTATCGTCTCCTCCGCGTGTCTCGCTTAACTGCCCGAAACTCAGCCGAGCGAGTCGGTCAGCTAACCTAACGAGTCAGAATTTTGTGGGCGCGATTTCACGGTTGTTGGCCGCCTTTGTGACGGGCGATGCTCGGAGACGACCTTCGTCGTACAGATCGATTCGATTTACCTGAAGTCCTCCAGGCGTGCCTGGAAGGCCTCCTTGCTCACCACGTCGTATGTTTGCTTCTTGCTTTCGTCCCTGGGCACAGACACCAGCGGCCACGTGCTCATGTTGTGGAGATCCTGGTCGGTTATGGCGAATCTCTGCGTCAGGTTCGACCTAATTGTTGGGCATAGGGTAAAGTGAATTAGGGAGGAAGATGTAGTTCATTGGGACGAAGTCTCTAAGCGCATCAGGCAAAATGGTTCGTACGTTGCGAGCACGTAAAAATAACACAAGGCCGAGAAATAAGTATATGTACGTTATATTGTCACATATAATTTAGATAATAATCACGGGAAGAATTTAAAAAGTATAATGCATCTGAATATAAATTAAAAACTATTAATTATTTTACACAAAGAAATCATCTTTATTTTTTATATCAGAACTGATCTGTAGATTAAGTCGTTAATTGGACACTTTCGTTTGAGTTTCGAAGCATAGACGTCTGCAAATTTCGATCGTCTCTTATTTAGTTAGTTTTGCTTAAAAAGTGTCGAGAGCCCAGTTTCTACAGAAGAAAATCTGTCAAGAGATCAGGGTGTACGTCACGAGAATATTTAAAATAAAACCAACATAAGCACAAAGTGTACTGAGCAGTTTTATTTTGAATCGATTCGTACAGCTTTCTGAACGACTACTTCAGTATTCTGTGAGGCGTTTGTTTTGCAGAAACGTGTCGCATCCGCGCGTCTCGTCCCGATTGCGGAACTTGAGAAAGCCATTCGTTCTTATCACGCGAAATGCGATGGAGAAAGCACTTCCTCGCGCTCGATCGAGGAAGAGATTTCACATTTCGTCGCTGTGGCACGATCACGTGGTCGGGACCGACGGGACTTTCAAATGTTCTGATCGAGCGATTTACGCGGGATATATCAGGAATGCAAGAAAATGAAACTGAAGAAGGAATTAAATTGTATTATTGTCTAATCAAACACGGTTGATGTTGACAAGCAACAAACTCGAAAACAAAATACGAGCTGTCGTATCTTGTTTTCAACAAAAATACAAGTTATCTCTCGAGGAAAACTGGAAAAATAGCTAGTAACGCATACCTTAATGTGTTGCCGTTGGTATAGATGAAAAAAGCCACTTCGGATCTTTCCAGCTGCATTCTGGTGACCATTTTGCCCAGATCCGTCGCTATCGTCACCTGTAATTGTCATCGAACATGCACATGTCGACCGCCATAAGCAACGCACCCATTACGGCTATTACCGTGGAACCTTAACTTTTACGAAGAAATATTTTGAAAAATGATTTGATGATTTGATTATGATGATTCCTTTTAAGGGAACGCTGTTCTATCAATTCGAATATATATATTTCGTAATTCCTGATTTATTGATACATCGGATACTTCCTATACGAAAGAAACAAAGTTGCCTTCGTCGGGATAATGGTTATCGCAGAACTTCCGTTAGATAACAAGGCTAATTGTAAGACACGAAAGGACCGAGTATTCGCGGAACATATATCGAGTGGCCACTTCAAGTCCCAAGTGTCTCGAAGATATCGTTATCACCCTTAGGGCTCGCGATCATCTCACTTCAACAGAGAAAATATCTTCTAACGGCACACTGAAGCTTTTTCTTATCCACTGCTCGTGGATTCACGATTTGAAACAGATAGTCCTACATGCCGTCTCATTTCTTGCATCTTTTGCCGTAGATGAATATTTCATTTCATGGAGATTCGTCGATGTACAAATTTCGCTTTCAAAGGTCCTTGATAATTCTCGATTTTACAAATCTTTGGATTTCCGAGTAGATTTTTCGACTGGAGAGACGGCTGAACTTCAGTGTCGTAAATCTCTGCTGTCGCGAGGATCCCTTACAAGTTTTCGCCCGTTTGATTGCGTATTCTCAGTCATTAAGGAATCTCATCAGTTTAAGAGCGCGTCCTTGTTTCCATTTCAATCTACCGGCTCGCGAGAACGAGGGATATTGCATTAACGCTGGTGGTAAAATCGCTTTACGACCCGAGATAATTATTATCATGGTTGCAAATTGCACAGCAATCGCAATTAGGTGTCCCACCAAAGCGCCATTGACGTTCCGTCGATCTATCCCGCCCCTTTTCGAACAAGAACCTGCCAGAGACTCATCAAGCGAGCATCTTTCGTCAAAGACTTAGCACCTTCGTAAACTCACAAACTATAATAGAAAGTTCTCCGCCGAACTTGCTCTTTGCCAATAAAGCGCTCGTATACAGCGGAATAATCCGCGGCTCTGTCAGCGTGCCACGAACTTTTAAGCCAGAGCATCACAAGCCGGGTCAGAGATCGTCCTACTCTGACGAAGTCTCAGCAAAGTTACCGTAAGGATCAGGGTAAAGCCAGAACGAACGTGCTCTAGAGGTAGGAGTTCGTAATACGCTGATTTTAATAATCGCTGCTCGCGTACACTTAAAGTTCACAATTTGTTAATTCTAATATTGTATATACGAATCCTTACGTTAATTTTATAAATATTGCATATACAAAGATTTTTGCAGTCATCTCTGTTTCCTTAAGATATCATCGATTTTATTTATTTTTAGATACGTGGAACTCTTTTTGGATAAAATCTTACCTTGATTAATTCCCTTCTTATATATAGAATTCTAATTTATCTATTTTAAATTTTTATCATAAATTTTTTTAACTCAACAAACAATATATAATTCAACAAAGTTTCTTTTCCCTTTTCATAATTTTCTGGTGCTCCAGATTATTCCGTAAATTTCAGCCTCCGGTTTCACATTTTCATTTCCTCTGTATTTCACTCATTCGTTCTGTTTTCATTTAATTTGCCATCACAAAGGTATGTAAAATGATTTACGTAATTTAAATTCTCAACGAATGTTAATTTAAATATTCATTGCAACAAAATTTTACATTAACAAATTAACAAATGTTACAGTAAAAATACTTAAAAAAAGATGCTCAGGAATCTTCTTAAATCTGGTCCGAGCTGAAAGAAAAATTTCCAAGCTTCTCGCGCCGTGTTGAATTGTAGGGGGTGTGCCGACGAGTGCGAAACGCTCGTCGGTCGTAGAGAAGCGCGAGTACAATCGTAAATATACGTATATCTGACATCGCCGACAATGGCAACCATTCTTACGACGCTCGTCAAACAAGTAACTCGAGATCGAAGACCGTTGTTCCCGCGGCCAACACCCCATCGCGATGAATTTCTATTTGATCCGCCCTTCGCTCCCAGGAGGGTCGTGTCTAATACCTTTGTGGACAGGGCGATTAGGTAGAACAGTGGAAATTTTCTCTTCACGACGACGAGGGAGAGCGACGCATAATTTACAATTAAAACTACGGTCCGCGATTATGGTCGATCAAAATTCACTCTTTACTTAATGTACTCTGCTCGAATTAAATTTATTATGGCAATTTAAAATTGACATAAATTTAAGAAAGCGGTTGGTATCTTAACATGTATACATTACGATTGTATAATTTCCTAATTATAAATATTAAAATGTTCTTCACAGGCAGAATTAACCCCTTTAAAGAGATCGAATAAATTAAACAAGAAACTTGAATTTAATATCTTGAATTAAATAAAACTGACCATAATTTAAGTGGTAAACTGAAGTAATTCGCAAAAATAAAAGGTGGAGATTCTCCTGGGCTACCGCAGTCCTATTTTTTTTATGGATCAAATGAAATATTCTTTTTTAATGTTTATCAAAGAAAAATTTTATAAATTAAAAATTTGCTATTTTCAGCTGTGTTTTCCCTGCGATGGCAAGCTAAACATCAGTTACGGTACTATCCCCCCGTCTCCACGCGCTCTTCTTATTTTATTTCATCATCCCTTGCAAGCGCTCCTCGCTTCGAAGTAGCAAAAGGGCGATGATGGCGGCGCGGCGGCGTGTATATGCGAGTCGATAATCCGAACGTGCGTGAGAGAATAAAATAAAAATAGCCGGCTCGTCGCGCGAGAATGGCTGTAACGTAATTTCTTGCGCCATGCCGGACACCGCCGCTCGGATCGGAAATCGAATCGGACGCGATTTCCAACTAGCGCCCGACGTTTTCATTAACAACAGCCCCTGGCCCTGCGGACGCTCCCTCATCCCCATAGAGGAAAGAGCGAAATCGTTCGCCGCTGTAGCTATCCGCGTCTCTGTGATAGACCGATGAACACATACCGACACTCTATCACTTGATCGCGAAATTGCGATCGCATGTCGCGATCAAAGCTCGCGTTTCGATCTCACAAAGCGAACGAGTGGAATCGCTTATTTATTCTGTCGTCATGAATTAAGTTAGACTTTATCGCGTTTTTAGTAAAAGATATTATTGAAATTTCTTTTCCGCAATTACTTTTACATTATTACCGCGTCCTTGTAATTATAATGTGACAATAAAATTCTTTTTTTTTTAGGTCTTCCCTTAGTGTTGCAAAAAGAATTTGAAAATGAGACCTATTGCCCTTGTAACATCTTGTGTTAATTAAATTTCACATTCTTATATTGGATTCTATAGAATCATGTATTTTCTTTTTGCTTCTTTAAATTAAAATAAAGAGAGAATTATAATCGCGAGGCTCGCACTTCAAGTAGAAACGCCTCCATTATGTCGCGATGCTATTCGCAGACGTAAAAGCGCGTAGGTGCGGTGTATTTGTTCATCTTCTCGTTACCCTCAAACGAACCGCCGCCGTCGATCGATCACCGGTAAATTATACCAACCCAGCCTAATTGCGCTCTTTACATAATTATCAGGGCGCAACGTAAGCGTGCGCGTGGAGCTTTTCGTCCGTTACTTCAGACAACGCTGAACTAGCAATTTGTAAAACTGGAGTTTCCGCGAAACTCACATAGAATATATATAAGCGAGACGCGGCGGAACTGTCGGCTAAATTGCTTTTAATATATAGACTCTTGGACAAACTTTACACCCGATATTTTATCCTCAGAAACTATAGGATCACATCGTATGAATGTAAACTATACTTAAAACTCTTAAAGCCAGGTAAAAAAATTTCAAGTGAAGGATAAAGAAGAAATGTATGATCGTTTCTGCGAAGTTTAATATAAAAACATAGAATTGATTAATTATTGACTCGGGCAACAAGGACAACTTGACTCGCTCACCTGCGTCTCTATGTCAGACACCTCCTGGCGGTAGATCAGGATGTCGTGGAGAGTATTGGCGGTCTGCACGATCAGGGCGAGGATCGGTATAAAGGGTAGCACCAGCATCTGGAGCAACTGGATCCGTCGGCCGCGACGGTGAGCCGGATCGGTTGCGCGAGCCCAACACGACTTCTTCCGGTTCGCCTTGGCTCCCGAAACATCGTCCGACGAGAGGCTCCTCACGGAACTCACTTCCGCCACGCAGGAACCGTTGCGCGGCGACATACTGAAAGGACCGCCGTGGAAATTAAATTATTAGTCGCCGAGCGATTTTTTTCGAATTTGTAAAGAATTATCCTAAGAGACAAACATATATACAGTCAACATGCGTCATGCTCATACGCAAAGGATTTCGAAAATTTATTTTCGAAATTTAATCGTAATTACAAGCACAATTATGATTCGTTACAAGAGGTGAATCTAGTTGTTCGTTTGAGGATGCATACCAAGTGAGATTCGAAGTGGAAATCCAGAAAATTCCTAGAAAATTCTTAAAATTCGATGATTTTCAGGAATGATGATTTAGAACTTTTGAAATACGAGGATTTAAGATTTTAAAACGAAAGATCCGTACTAATCTGCCAATAGGCGAAGGATTACTCAACAGTCTGTGAAAGCCCAGAGACAGAACGATTTAACAATTCAGATGCGTCAAATGTAATCGTCGCGTAATTGGAATTCAGAAGCCACGAGGAATTCGATTAAAAATCCATTATCAGCTCGATTGTGCGTCGCGGAATTGCTCGTTGGAATTGTTCGATGAGAGGCGAGCTTTTATTTCCGACTTGTCGGCGATACGTCGTCCCGCACGTCCGAACTTTCGCGATCGCGATAATAATGACAAGCTGGTGGATAACGAGCCGACCGGCGCGGCGCGGCGGGTCTCCGTAATTAAACGCGACGCGAGAATAGAGATGCGTCACAGTCGACTACGCCGTGGAAAAAAAAGGGAGTCTCTCCCGTTCAAAGCTTCGCAATTGCGAACTTGGGGATGCAATTCGAGCTCGATAACAGAAAGCGCCACGTAAATGTGCACGTAATTCCCCCTTTTTATTTTTTTTCCTTTTTTTTCACAACTAGAGCGTTATTCTCTTTGTGTTCTTGCACCCTATTTTTCTGCGTTATCTAGTTCTGAAGAGGAATAAAACAAGAACAGCAATATCTAACATCTGTGTCGACCGGCGACGTTCACGTTCTGTTGAGAATCACAAGAGTTAAGAATTCGTCGCTTATAAAAAAATCAGATCGCGTTTCAGTGGCCTGATTTTTTAATAAACGCCTCAATTGATTAATTCACAAAGTTCGTTTTAAAATAACGAACGAAACGATTTCGTCGTTTTATTCACATGAAAGTTCATTTCGATCCCAATTATCTTTCGAAACTTCTCGATGAGCAAGTTTAAGAGCTGCGCGTTGAAGTAGATCAATTTCACTGCCACGGATATTCCACAGTTAAATCGAAATGCCTCGTCCTCTCGCGTAATCGTAACGCAGCGGGAATTAGAATTCTCACAGCGAGGAAAGTTCCCGGAGGTAAAATAAAGGGACTTGTATAGTTGTATTCGTGGTTTGCGTTCCGTTTCATCCCTCGCCTCGTTATCTCTAGAATTCATGAGAGACAGAGGAAGGAAGAGGGAGGGAGGGTTAAGCGATCGCAACGAGTGAGTCTCTGACTTCGTTGCGAGTCTTTGATGTCAATCTCGAAGATGGCAACGTCAAAAGCTGCTGCTATCGGGAACGGCACTATCTCTCTGAATAGCGTCTGATTTTGTACGCGTGCCTACACATTAAGAAGAAGAAGAAATTAATAACTCGCCGATATTCTTCTCTTCTCGTCAACGAGAGGAAATCGCTGTCGTCGTAAAACGAGGGTGAAATAGACGCCGTGATATTAATATCGCATTGGAATGGAAAAAAGAGACCTAATGTGCCTCGGAAAAGAATCGATAAACCCTTCATAGTCCCTTCATTAATTTGTATGGCTTGGTTAATGACTCCTGCGTCCATTCCATTTAAATAAAAAAATGATTGTTTCATCCCTTCGAATATTCAGATTTTTGGAATTTTATACTTCTTAAAATATAGAAGATACCTTACATGCTTTAAGAATTATTTTACTCTTCGTCTTTTGAATATTCGGATTCTTGGCGGTTTAAGATTGTCCGCCTTTCCGGAACAAAGTTACAGAATACCGTACATCTTCGAGTCCTTTGAAAATCTCAGGAAACCACCATTCGAGCCAAAGGGCCGTGATGCGTTGCAAACAATGTATATCCTCGTTCTACCCTTCGCCTTCGTGCATAGTAACACGGTAATAAACTGCACTACAACAACGTTGATGCATAATCTAATGGCGTGTCGTCACCGCTTGCCTCGCCGGTAAGGACAAGAGAGGGGTAACCACCCCGCAGGCAGTTAATTGCAGTAGCGCGCTTCTATTCTCTCCCTTCCTCTCTCTCTCTGTGTGTTACATTACGTTATCGATGATGCCAACTCTGTTTCAAGATCGAGCTTCTATCGATTTATTCTAAATTGAATCGATCTTGCATCTTCCCTCTAAATTGTAAATAATTTGTTATTAATAGATTTATAGGAATCATATTAAAATAAAACATCTCCTGGTCGAGCAAATCTCTTAATGGCGGTTTATCTCGTATCAGTATTTTCTTTTACAATTAATGATAGAAGTTCAACTAATGAGAGAATTTACAGTATCAACGAAGCGACATCCGCAAAACTTTGGGAACCACTGATTGTGAGTTACATTAACGTTACACTCCACGATGCGTTTAAGGAAGGCGAACACGCAGACATGGCACACGTGTGAGTGAGTTGCCGCTGTTGGCCATTGTGTATATAGGGCTCAATTCCACGGTAAATGTGTTCTCGAGTTTCGCGTCGGCCAACATCCTAGAACATCGTAGAAGCATCCCCGGCGATGCGATGCAAGGATCGCATTTGTGTCACTAACGAGTCGAGCGACCGGAAATCCGAGGGAAGAGACGGGAGGGAGGATTAGAATGCCGACGATACGGGACGAGAACTGGAGGATCTACGCGATATTCTCCACTTTTATCCTTGTTTCCTGGAACACAGTCTGTCTACATCTTCATGAATCCCCCGTTCTTTCGAAAATCCTGAAGATTAAGGCTTACCTTTGATTGAACCTGATATCCCAGTGTGCGGAAATTCAAGGAAATAAGAATCGTATTCATCTAGTCTGATCGATTGAAGGATAAACTTTAAATTAATTTGATGCGAATACTAATTTTCAATTTTTGCAAAACACTCTCTCTCTCTCCCTCTATGTATGCGCAACAATCTGGGACGAACGTCACATGATCGATGAGAATTAAATTTGATGCTAAAGGGAACGTAACGGAGGAATGCGATGCGATTACAAAGCAGGTATTCCTGATAATTTCATTGGCTCTTTTGAATTTGCACTCTCATTATCGCATACCTCTAAGTTAATCAAAACGACCGTTTGTATGGAGCACGATCAAAATTATAGGTCAATTACTGAACAATATAAATGTAATAAAGTAAAATTAATTAATACTATTGCAATAGGCGTAAATATCTAAAAACATGTATGAGGGAGAGAGGGAATACAATCTGATGTTGTTTTAAATAAGCGCGAATATTTACACAAATTTTCTCTACGTATTAACAAGATAAAAACGGACATGCATATAATTTATATATACATTATATACATTTCGTTTATTTAACCATGATAAATGATACTCTTAGAAGCCAAGCTACTCTGAGAGACAAAAAGAAAGAAAATTGATAAAGTTATAAAAATCGCGTGGTCTGGTACTAAAATTAAGAAACTTACAAAAAATGAATTCAATTAGTTGGATTCTGAGAGGCTCGAATAATACTTCGTTAACGTATAATTAATTAAATTAAAGTTTAGTTCAATTATATTCTTCTTCAAAATCCAAAATAGGTTCTTATACGACTGGTGTAAGAATTCGGCAAACATTATGACAATCGAATCATGTTAGCGCCATGGCAATCCACTTCGCATGACGGAATCTACCCAAGTAGCAGAGTGACGTCAAATAATAATAACATCTTAATGATGTCTCTAACGTCAATACGTCTTTAGATGTCACCCTGCTACCTGGATATCGACTTGTAAATAACCGTAAAGCTGTTTGGAAGCTTTTTCGATATCGAGCTTTGTGATATCGAGCCGGATGAAGCGGCTTCGACATTAGGAAACTGAAACACATCCCCGGCGCGCGCCGTAAAGCACATTTATCTGATAGCGGCAGTGATTCCGTGCTCGTTTGTTCTCGGAGTTAGAGAGAAGGATACTCCCGTGAGCAGGGAGGATTAACAATTAAGCTTTTCTGTGCGGAATTATTCGTGCTATCGCAAACATTATTTTGTCGGAAACCAACGCTACGAAACTTAAATATCCCGCGTCGTCGTTGTTATGGCTGTTCACTCTGCATACGAAGAAACACAGGGGGTTGAGATCGCGAACCGCACTTGTGTACAGCAGATGTTTAAAGTGTCTAGCTTGTACTCCGATTACGATTGCAGAACGGCGAAGCTCGCGCGAGGCTCGTCGCGAGCGCGAGTGAAGCTTAAAGCTATTTGCAATACAAAGCTGTAGTGAAAAACTATGATACTCGTATCGCAGAGAGCCAGCTCTGTGAAGTCTCTGAGACAATTTGAAATCGATTCTTCCCCAACAAAAATGTCGAGAGGGCCGCTCGTGGCAAATTGTCACTTTTCCACATTAAATGTCCACGCGACCAATTCTTGAATTATATATCGGTCAAAGCAAAGCCTCATTCGAGCGAGGTATCAAAGAAAAAATTAAATTCCATTATCTGAAACTTATTTCCCTGAAGACCTTTCACTTCTATTCTTTCACAACACGCTCGCTCCACGGCGACCGTCAAAGGCTTCGTTGGGAAAGAAAATTCTATAAAACTAGTTCACAACTGTAGTATCGCACTCTGTACAATCGCAGTTTAAAGCGTCCAACGCACGTGCGGCAGCTATGTGCTTGCGTATGTAGAAGATAAGAAATAACGCTGTAATGTCGCGTCGGTTCCGCGCGGCGCGGCAAGTCGTTGTGACATGCATGACGCAGTTTCTTAGATACCCTCGAAATGACATACTCACTTTATGCAGCGAATCAACGTGCAGCCATTAGCAAGCCCGAGGAAGCCCTGGGTCCACCAGGAAGCAGCGGCG